CCCCTTTCTCCCTTAGTCAGGTCAGGTTTTAACCAGAATTGCCTTTTTTTTTTTTTTTGTATCGAAACTTTGACACGAACATTTTTAGGTTCAATGCATATAGTTACATGCTTAATTTATAGTTATTATAAAGATCTGAATATAAGTATTACCTAATATTTGCAGTATGGAAGTGCCTTAATCATTTATGTACACAGACTATAGCCAAGGTTACCTAAATGTTTGTTTCTTATGATACTCACACAAAGTGTCGAACCGACACTGATCCCATTGCATTCATAGCCCTATAAACACATCATCTTCTGGAAGGGTGTAATAGGGATTTACAGCAGCGATGAAAATATAAGTCTATATTTACCACTTAATTACTTTTAGTTTTCAAATGTTATTATGAATAATTTCGTTTTTAATGCACAATAAAATCAAAATTGATCATTCATTTAAAACGCTCTCATCATTAACTTTACTGAGTATGGTTACCTGTTAAATCTACATAACTGTCCTTCAAATTGACTGGTAATGTCACTCTGCCCGGAGGATGTGAATATATCTTTTGATTATACAATCACCTGGAGCTCCGACTACTATTTACATCCCATTGTAACGGAACGACACACAGCTTAAATGTTACATTGTATACATATCCGCAGCAATAACTTTAATTCTCATTAAGTAACAGCCATCCAAAATCTAGCTATACTTGACAGTGTAATTCATCAACGTCATCAATTCAAATTAACGATAATTATCTAACAAGGTTAAGCAGAGCTTTAAGAATATTTTATATACTTTTATTTTTATTTTCTAATGAATAAATATCATGAACAAAACAAATTGAAGTGGAAACCTGTTTTGTGGTTGATGATATAAACTAAGTGGTTTTTTTTTCTATCATTAAAACCTCAATATCAGTTACACCCAATAATTTACATGATTATGAGATACAGAACTGTAATCCTTTCAAACAACAACAGACAGTCACACACAATGAACAGGGACTCCGTGTTTGGCGGTGAAACTGCCTTGTCACCTTGGTCACTGCCTCAGGTAAACCTCAGTGATAAGCAACAGTGATACAGCACGTTTTACTCTGTCATCCCCACCACACAGATTCTGTACGATCGTATCACTACTGCTGCACACTTCCTGTATACAATCCACCGTGGCGATCACACACAGAAACAGTCTTTCCGACAATCAAAGGCTTAATGTTCTCCGAAAAGATTTATTTATAAAAATGAACTATATAAAGATAGCGATATAAAAATGCCATTCCAAATGAGGACAGGAAGGCCGTAGAACAACAAAGATAATTCAGGGGCAGAAAAGTTTTAATTATCTTTTTATAGATCTTAAAGAAGTGACACTTTCACATTTTTGCGATCTTAAAAGCCCTATCAGGTTTACACCTGACTTAGTGATGCTATCAGCAGTGTTCAGGTGAGGGATGTTCCTACCTGTATAGGTAATCAAACTACAAATCTCCGCAACAAGTGAAGAGTTCCCACAAAGCTCTGTCAAGTGGAACCATCAACGTTAGTCTTAGTCACACATATTACAAACTTTGTCACACATACCACATATAACAGACTTATAGTCCCACTTATATATATTAGTCACACATGTTACAATATTACAAACTTTGTCACACATACCACATATAACAGACTTATGGTCCCACTTATATAAATATTTTAGTCACATATATTATAATATTACAAACTTTGTCACACATAACACATATAACAGACTTATAGTACCACTTATATATATTAGTCACACATGCTACAATATTACAAACTTTGTCACCCATACCACATATAACAGACTTATAGTCCCACTTATATAAATATTTTAGTCACATATATTATATCTTCAACAAAGTCACAAGGGAGGTCGGGTGGCACAGTGGATAGTGCACTTGCCTTCACCAAGCAGGCCAGGGTTTGATTCCCCGATAGGACGTGAAAAGGTATGGGGTCACCTGCCCGACTATGTGGGTTTTCTCTGGGTACTCCAGGTTTCCTCACACATTAAGAACCCGCACGGGCAACCATCCGGGCCAACAAGACTGATTCATATAAGTTGAAATTACTTATTTCAAAATTGTTGTAAAATAAATAGAGTTTATATAACAAAGTCCCACATGTAATTAACTATAATTGCCTTAGTCACACATCTGCATAGGCTAAGATACACATGACAGACTTAGTCACACATCTGCATAGGCTAAGAGACATGTGACAGGCTTAGTCACACATCTGCATAGGCTTAGAGACACTAACAGGCTTAGTCACACATCTGCATAGGCTAAGAGACACGTGACAGACTTAGTCACACATCTGCATAGGCTTAGAGACACGTAACAGGCTTAGTCACACATCAGCATAGGCTTAGAGACACGTGACAGGCTAAGTCACACATCTGCATAGGCTAAGAGACACATGACAGGCTTAGTCACACATCTGCATAGGCTAAGATACACATGACAGGCTTAGGCACACATCTGCATAGGCTAAGAGACACGTGACAGACTTAGTCACACATCTGCATAGGCTTAGACACATGTTACAGGCTTAGTCACACATCAGCATAGGCTTAGAGACACGTGACAGGCTTAGTCACACATATGCATAGGCTTAGACACACGTGACAGGCTTAGTCATACATCTGCATAGGCTTAGAGACACGTGACAGACTTAGTCACATATCTGCATAGGCTTAGAGACACGTAACAGGCTTAGTCACACATCTGCATAGGCTTAGAGACATGTAACAGACTTAGTCACATCTGAGTTTTAGTAACATATTGAATATTTAGTCTTTGTCACATATATTGCATCTTTAACAGACTTTCTAAGTCACACATATAAGATTAAGTCACATATATTGCATCTATTACAGACTTAGTCACACATATAAGTTTAGTCACATATATTGCATCTATTACAGACTTAGTCACACATATAAGTTTAGTCACATATATTGCATCTATTACAGACTTAGTCACACATATAAGATTTAGTCACATATATTGCATTTATTACAGACTTAGTCACACGTATAAGATTTAGTCACATATATTGCATCTATTAGACTTAGTCACACGTATCAAACCTGATCATATATTAGCATGTTATTGTTTTGAAAACTTCTTACTTTACAGCTGTGTTATTTACTCTCACGTTTTTGATATCAGGCACACTACTATAAACAGGTTATGTATCTCTAGAGACTTACTACTTATTACGTTATACAAACCTACTAGACTTGTTAAAAGAAAAAATGTTTTTCTGTCAATGACAGTGTTAAAACAAACCACCTCCCCATCATCATACATAATATGTTTATATAAGTATTTAATTCAAAACGTTTTCTTAACATTTTTGAAGGTTTCACACTGGCAGTATAACAAGTGACACAGGACCTCAGACCTCACCATTCACAGACATTACAGTGGCAGTATAACAAGTGACATAGGACCTCAATCTCCAGACTTTATGTTTGTAGTATAATTATAGTGACACAGGACTTCAAACTGTCATGACGGCAGTATATAAAATAGTGACTGACAGATCTCTGTCACCAGATGTCATATCGTGTCAGTTATTGGTGTTGTACAGGAACCCATGCACTGTTCCCATTATTTATATTTTCTTACTAACCAACCTATAACCAAATATTTGATTAACTTTTAAAACATTTTACAATAAATTAATCAAGTTATGAAATTATTGTTTTTATTTAAGAATAAAATTCTTTCAAACACACCATCTGTTTCAAGGTGTGCTGCAATGAAAGCATCCAGCAAAATTCCAGGGTTGTACATACAACTTGTATTACCTCAGAATTATCCCAGCAACTAGTGTTACCTCAGCATGCTTAAATATCTACATAATATACACAAGGAGTCACCCCGAATAGTTCAGATGACAACCTTTTTTATCTCATTTCTTACATGAACAACAAACTGCGCTGGATTGTGCATCGCATGTAGATAAGCGAGCTGTCCTCGGAACACTTGTAATCAGGGTAGGATGTGCTACCTGATCACCGTATACCTGACTGATCATATTTACCTGTACTCTAATCAACCTTATGAATGACTTCACATCTGTATACAGTACACTATATATACCAGGTGTAGGTAACCTGTTGAACTGTACGATAGCTATCCAACACAAATATGATTGATCCAAGAACAGTAAAGTTTCCCTTATCACTACTTTAATGGAAGGTAGCCTTTTAAATCTAGATTTGGGGATGATCTGTGTACAATATCAGCAATAGGTGGGCATGATTTATCTTGCTATCTCCATCGCTGACCTTATCAGCCTTACCCTCGACAATATGAACAATGGTTGAGAATGCTATCTGTGTAACTTCGTTGACACAGAAATATAAAAATAAACATTTTACAAGGTATATATAATCAGATGTATACTCTTTTAAATATGCTATGTGTAGGTAAATGAGACCGTTTCCTTAAATCACAGAGGATTAAAGCTGACATCATAATTATATATAGATCAGATTACACATCTCTAGTGTTTACCTGTGATTATCATATGCATTTATCTGTGATAACCTCAGCATTTATTTACCTGTAATTACTTAGATATGTATTTATCTGGATTTAATGTATTAATATATCTGTGATTGCCTGAGTATGTGTCTTTATCTGTAATAACCTGGGTATTTACCTGGATTACTTAAATATGTATAAACCTTTAGTTACCTGGGTATTTACCTGTAATTACTTAGATATGTATTTATCTGGATATAATGTATTAATATATCAGTGATTGCCTGAGTATGTGTCTTTATCTGTAATAACCTGGGTATTTACCTGGGATTACTTAAATATGTATAAACCTTCAGTTACCTGGGTATTTACCTGTAATTACTTAGATATGTATTTACCTGATTACTTAAGACATTTATTTATCTCTGATTATCTGGGTATGTATTTACCTGTGATTATCTGAGTATGTATTTACCTGCAAGTTTGAGGTACCATGACGGCCAAGTAGATGCCTCCCAGGACGGAGGCACCATATAATCTGCAACGTCCGAGGGGAAGTATCCAGGCCGCGAAAGATTACATGGACAGTTCACAAGGTTGCACCACCCAGGGGGAAGGGGGGTTGCAGAGGGGCGCCAGAGGGGCAAGGGCAGCAATGAGCTCTGGCCCAGCCCAGGCAGTCCGGGGGGGTAGAATCCTGAACCCCCGCCTAAAAGACTACTTCTCATATCCGTGAATGTGGCCAGGTGGGACTCGCCCAGTACTGACATCCCTGTCATACAGTCCTCACAGGTATGAACAGTACAGGTAGGTACAGAAGCTTGTCCCCACACAGAGGCTACCCCATCCAGTGTTCTATATCCAGCACATACAAATCACACTATCTTTTAACACAGACGGATTCCTGTCTAGTCCTGGCGGCACAGATCCACACTGGGCATATAAACAAAACACATGCAGGCTGATGTATACAGAAGATATACTGATGTACCGCACCACTGTGTGTAGTAGATAACTCTAACACACTGCCCTACACTCACTCACAAAACGTAACAATCACTGTCACTCAATTCCTCACAGGCTCCGCCCCCAACATCTCTCATTGGTTCAACCTCTAACTCTGACCTTTCTCAATTCAACAGGTAATGGGACATTCATAAACGGTTATAGTTGATCAATTCACTATCTGCCTGAACTAGTACGGGACTGGGGCATAGTGATCCTAGGCTAACACAGGGGGTCAGGGTTCAGGGGTCTCAAGAGTAGGGGTTACATCTCTCAAGGTTTATCCTGGGGATTGACAAAGGTATACACCTCCTTGTAAAACACTGCCCCATTGTACCGGACAGGTATGATTACTATATGTGTCAAAGAGCAGGTATACTCCGTTTCCTATTAGTATTGGCCCCAGTCAGGACACAGTAGCCTGTTTTGTGTTCTCACACCAACACCATCGACCTCACCCCCATAGCAGGCAATGGTCTCCTTAATCTTAGTGTAATCCATACAGCACTACTTCCCTCCCAATGCTTCACGACAGCTGTTTAACACTGAGTAGTAGATGGATAGGTGTACATTATGTAATTCAGTATCTCCTCTACCAGTTTATGTGTTTACACTCAATTAAAGAAACATTTTAATATCATTAGGGCTGTAATCATATTAGAGTTTCCATATTAATGCTTGGAGTTTGAAACTTTTCCAGCCCTCATAGAGTGACAGTGTACACATTTGATGTCCAGTCCAGGGCAACCTATATTTAGCTAGATTTGATGACATCTATCCATATCAGAATTAATTTGTCATGCCAACCTAACTTTAACAAACATTTCAGTCCCAATTATGTTTTATTGACAAACTGATTTTTAACTCACACTTTATATGAAGTTGTGTTCTAATCAGCAACTTGTCCTATCTGACAGTACAGACCAAAATGGATTCTATAACAGCCTTACCTTTAACCCATTCATCCCTAAAGTCACATTTGAACCTAACCAAATCAAAGACTGGGCAAGTCCAGTTTAAATATGTAGGGGTGAATGAGTTAAACTGACAGTTCTGACTTACCTAACATCAATGAAAACCTGCCTTATCTGATTCAAAATTCAATAATTACCTTTTTCTAAGATAACCTGTATTATCAGCATACTGCAAAACAGGTAAAACTTTACCTGAATAAAAATATCACCCTTTTGTATGGCATCTGTGTTTCTCTACACCAAGTTTACCTTTCAGCTAGTTTATGTGATACGAGAAAGCGTAATGACATAATTGTCCCTGATGACACCGAGTTTAAAATTACAGTGATTCATAATCTCTTAGATCTTCTTATGTACCTAATAATATGAGAACTAGGAAACACAGTGTGTTTGTGTGGATTTGGAGCTGGGCAGTAAAACAGTACTAAAAGTGTCCCCAGCCCGTTAGACACTGGTCCCTGCCCATTTAAACAGCAGTTTCTGGCCAGCTAGACATCAGTCCCTCAGAGAAGCAAGACCTCAGTCCTTGGCCAGCGAGACATCAGTCCCTCAGAGAAGCAAGACATCAGTCCTTGGCTAGCTAGACAGCAGTTCCTGGCAAGCGAGACCTCAGTCCTTCACCAGCAAGACCCCAGGCCTTTGTCAGCAGTCCATTAGACAAGCAAGACATCAGTTCCAAGCCAGCAAGACCTACGTCCTTGGCCAGCGAGACATCAGTCCCTCAGAGAAGCAAGACATCAGTCCTTGGCTAGCTAGACAGCAGTTCCTGGCAAGCGACACCTCAGTCCTTCACCATCAAGACCCCAGGCCTTCGTCAGCAGTCCCTCAGACAAGCAAGACAGCAGTCCCAATCTAGCAAGACCTAAGTCCTTGGCCAGCTAGACAGCAGTTCCTGGCAAGCGACACCTCAGTCCTTCACCATCAAGACCCAAGGCCTTCGTCAGCAGTCCCTCAGACAAGCAAGACAGCAGTCCCAATCTAGCAAAACCTAAGTCCATGGCCAGCTAGACAGCAGTCCCTCAGAGAAGCAAGACCTCAGTCCTTGGCTAGCTAAACAGCAGTCTCTGGCCAGCGAGACCCAAGTCCTTGGTCAGCAATGCAAAACAGCAATTCCTTGCTTGCAAGACAGCAGTTCCTGGCCAGAAGCCTTATCTTATTTCAGAGGAATGTATTACAACAGCTGTCCCTCCTCAAAAATATTGTCACACATTGTATTAGCATACCAAATTTATTTATCAGTCAAAGTGATGTATTAATCAAAGATTTATTTCACAAACATGACATCTGCAGTGTAATATCTAATGCTGTTCTTACGCATACTGTCAGCTTGACTGCTCCCTTTGTGTGTGTATGTATATCTAAACAGGTAGTGACTCTGTCACTGTAAAATATGACAGGCTGACAAAAAACTTAAAGGTGACTGTGTTACAGCTTTTCATCATCTATCTATTTCAACAGTTTTACCAATTTTACTTGTCTTAATTGGCTAAATAGCTTATAAGCCAACTGTCTGTTTATTTAAAGCAGTTTTGATAATTCTTGTCTCTTCTAGATTTTTTTTTGCTTACTGAAACAATTGAGTCAATCCCCTGTTAAACAATTATGCCAATTCCTTGTGTACGCTCAACAATAATGCTAATTCCTTGTCTAGCCTTAAACTTTTGCCAGATTTCTGTCTATTCTTCATTTTTTTTTTAATTCCCTGTTTAGTTTGAACTTGCACTGCCTAATGTTCCATTCCTTTCTGATATAAGTTTTATTTTTACATGCGGTGTCAAGTTTAAGGTTTCATTTTTCATCAGAACTCAAAACGCCAGCTGGCACTTTTTGTGTTTTGAATACAAAAGTAGTATGCCCTACAATAGAGGGATTGCTTATCCTGAAATACATACAAATCAATAGGGTTTATCCTCTGTGTAGATCTACAATCTCTCCTGTAGGGCAAGACACACTCCTATCAAGTCCAACATAATATTCTGTCTCTAGTGACCATGTCTGAGGATCCTGTAATTATAGGCGGGACATCTCTGCAACAACCGTCCTTGGGGGCTCTAAAATCCTTTCTACAGTAACTACCTGGGCTGCTCGGGGTTTTTCTGTAGTAATATGCGATCTTGGCTGACTTAGACACATAAACACTGACAGTCTTAATTGACTGCTCTACACCACTGTTTTGCAACCGTCTTAACTCATTCACCCCTACATATTTAAACTGGACTTGCCCAGTCTACGAATTGGTAAAGTTCAAATAAGACTTTTGGGGTGAATGGGTTAACTGCTCCAGACCACAGTGACCAGACCATTCTGCTGCCCCAAGACCACTCTACACTGACCATTCTGACTGCTCTAGACCGCTCAACAGCTACCAGACTGTGGGCTCTGTAGACCTTTCAGTCAGGTACCACCTGTGGAGCTCAAGACACCTCTACAAGAACCATTTTGACTGCTCAACACCAATCTACATTGACCATCATGGCTGCCCTAAATTATTCTACAGTGACCTTCTTGGAAGCTCAAGGTGACTCTTCAACAATCATCAGCAATGGTGAAAAAGATAATGCAGATGATGGTGCGATGACCACATGTTCGCCTGAATTAAATGGCTTAAAATGTTTGGAATCAATTCATCTCAATCTAGCAACTGCATCTGTGGATTACATATTAATGAGTATATTTAATCCGAATTAAAGGTTTATCTGCTACTTAAGATGTTATTCCGTCTTTGCGTATTGCATAGTTATCTTCCCTTGGGAGCAGGTATTGATTGTTACCTCAATGGTTTGAGTGAGAAAATTACGTCGTTTTCTCAAAAATTGATGACGTTACTCTCACAAACAAGTGACGTAACAATCAATACCTGCTCCCAAGAGAAGATAACTCTGCAATACGCAAAGACGGAATTGCATGTTTACTATGAAACCTTTTATTGCATGGCCTGGAAACTGCCTGTATCGCAATAGTAAGATTCACCAGCTATGTAAACGTACTATTATTAGTAAGTTTAATTCCATCAATACAGAGTATTGGAATCCCTAAAAATCTCCACTACTGAACAGAACAAATAGAAACATCAGTGTGAAAAGCTGGCACCACTTGCAGTTTAAATTTGTAACTTTTTCAGTTTTTTTAAACTGGGAAACCTTTAAACATAAGCATCTTTAGCTAGGTGTCTTTTTTATGTATTCATACCGCCTCATTACACACACTCATTAAATAACATTTCTTTCCTAGTGAAAAAAGGTTACTCAGGTGAGATGTGATGTTGGCAGTTTTCCAGGTATAAGTTGGTCCTCACCTGTACAGGTATCGGGCCTTGTTAATGTTTGTGTATGTATACCCTGATAGGGGCACTGGGTCATCACCGGACCACAAGATCTAGGAACCGCAATGTTATCCACCACAAATATCCACACCCTAGGAAACAATCTCACCCACACCCTAACTTTTTTGGGTCAAGGCCACATATAAACATATTTAAATGACTTGGTCTATCTAAATGGGAGTTTTTCAAAGAGGGACATATTTTATGCTAGAGTAAAGGGATGTCTCTTCAGATTCCGTCTATATTTCAACTTAATATATTATGTCAAAGCATTAAATGACTAAGGCATTTAACGTCCTCATGATGATCAAGGTCAAAGTTGTACACAGCGACCTAGTTAATTCGTATATTGTTTTGTGGATACTTTCATGGTTTTATTATACAAACAAGCCAATGTATTTATCCTGCAATAAGCCAATGCCTGGTATTCAGCACACCCATGTCAAATACAGTAGTAAATATGCTTACAAATGCTATAATATCCTACAATTTGTTTTCATGTCATACAGCATAAGTAAGAGTAAGTCAATACACTGCCCATCAGTCAGTAGGCAGATCAGCCAAATGACAAAACCTATCAAAGTTTGTTAAAAAGAATTTTATTTTTATATACTTTTTTTTCATTTACAGCACAATTTGTTCAAATGATTTTATAATACTGTTAGTTATTATTCTAGTTGAATATGACAGCGGTTTTATATGTGGGAGTATATAGCCATTATTGACACTCTGGAT